GTGTGTGTGCATGTGTGTGTGGGGGTGGGTGCATGAGTGACAGATATGACAGACAGGCACACAGACAGAGAGAGAAGTGAAGAAAAATAGACGCAAAGGGAAGAAAATGAGTGATGGGATGCCAGGACAGGTAGACAGCGAGTGACAGGGGGAGTAGTGTGTGTGGAGAATGACAAGAGTGGACGAGAGTCAAAATAAGAACTAGCGGGAGACAGACAGCGACAGACAGTCTTACCTGATTTCTTGTTGTCTGTAGAATTGCAGAGTTCGCTGCAGAGCCTCCTGAACCATCTGCGTCTGTAAGAAAAAGTGAATGCATTAGACCAGTGTGTGTGTTTGTGTGCATTTATTTCACAAATGCAACGCTCAAAACTTCAGTATTGCACATATACTTATTCAAATTTCTAATGATAAAATAATTCAAACACAAGTGTGTGTGTGTTTGTGTGTCCACAGCTGGCATGTTTCGCGTTTGTTACTGACAGCCTAAGCCTGAGAGGGCGGATCCAATGTGATTATCTGTGATGCAGCTTAAATGGACGGACCGTAGTGACAATACTAGAACATAGAGTGCCAGCTGGAGAGGTCATTCTGAGGCCTCCACCCATTCCGCACTGATACAGTAATTTGTTTGCTTGGCCTGTGTTAATGCTGTTTTCTATCTGAAACTGTGAAAGTGACCTGCAGTAATTGAGCTACAGCAAGTAAAGAAGCTGAACCACCGCTGCTGCACATAGAGCTGTTTGCCTGTTTATTCAAAGTTCAGTGAAGCTTGTCTCAGTACTCAGAGCCTTGAACTGGAGGATCAGTTGCTGCCGTGAACGTGCAAGGTATTGTTGTGAATGTCCCGTTGCTGTGATTCACAACATCCCCTGTTAATTTAAAGTATATTAATATTCGATGTATTGTTCGACCAAATTGCACCAAATTTGACACTGCACTTCCTTAGGTCCTAAACAACACATATGTCAAGTGTGAAGGTGATAGGATAAACGGTTCTTGAGATTCTCGAGCCAGATACATACAGACAGACAGACAGATATTTCTGAAATTTGTGTATTGTATAAGTTAATGTGGCAAATTGTCACAGTTTGATTGGGTGTTGCCATCCCTGTCGGTTATTTGATCATGCACATGACTAATCACAGAAAGTGAAACACCTGTATTGTAGTTTATCTGAGGACAAGGAAGAGCACATGTTCAAATTGGTCCGCAGACTGCCTATTAAGGCACACTGCCCCGCCCCCTCTAATGCACAGACAGCAAGGTTGCTGTTTGCTCTTTAATCAAAGTTTATTAATATTGATGATGTGTTTCCAAATCACACTAACTTTCTGCATTCAGTAGATAGATGTTCATCGATTACTCTCAGCAAAACTGGAAATAACACCTACTGACACTGAAACACGTAGCTACAGCGAAAGCCACTCTACAACTTAGCAACAACAGGAGTAAGATGGGCACAAGGAACTGTGTGGATCTGATAGCTGGAAAACACTCAGTGGGCTATTCAGACTATTTGTGAGAGAAAACTCAGTTCCCCACTGACACATGGGTGTGAATGTCCACAGTATACAGTAGAGTAGAGAAACAGTTTTCTCATGACAGTCCACCTCTGCATCCTTGATTCAGCTACTCATTTACCACAGAGCTTTCACAGTGTGTGCACACACAAGATTCTGCAGCAGGACCAGACACACAGGCACAAAACTGTTATCACACACACACATGCACACATGTGCAAACACACTGTACCCATACATCATCATTAGTCTGCATTGTTACAATCGCTGGCATGTTTACTGTGCACACAACTTCATACCCCGTCACACACATTAATCTCACTCAGTCACACAACAGTCGTGCTGAGATTGTAGGATTCGGCCGGCCACGATTGTCCGGTTGTCGGGATATGGTAAGTTGTTAAAGCATGATATCAACGCCGAGCACAACAGAGTCATTTTAAATTAAACGCACATAGACACAGTGCGGTGGAGCAGTTCACCAGATTTCCATTAGTATATACTGGCGTGGTCTATCATAACAATTCCAGCAGAGACCAGTGGAGAAATCCGAGGGCAGATGTTTCATGTAGGAACAGAAGCAGCGAGAGCACGGGGAGAAGAGCTGAAGCTGGAGCACAGGAAATCTGAGTGCAAGCGCAGGGTTTTGAGTGAAAACATCACAAAATCAGAAGATGAAATCAACAAGTCCGGCTCTCAAACAGAGAGACCACGTTCAACAACCCTTATGATTTCACCTTCTGTCCTGTCCATAAAAGGCCAGCTCCATACATCCTGCAGTACAGTATTGTTCTGATAAATCACAGGTTGTAGTAATAGTTAGTCCAAACACAATCAGAGAGTTTGAGAGGGATGAACAAACATTGGGGCATCTGTATGAATTGTTTGTTTTAACGTCCAAGGCTTCATTTACTTCCACTGCTGCAGGAAAGCTGTTAAATAACCAATTTCCCACTAATGGATTTACTAAATGTAATGGATTTATATGGCTCTTTTGTGGTCGTAATGACCACTCAAATTGCTTTACGCCACAGGTCACATTCACCCATTCACACATGCATTCATAAAGCCCTTCTATATACAGAGCTTCTCTTTCAATAATCCATTCACACAATGGTGGCAAGGGGCAAATTGGGTCAGTGTCTTGTCCAAACATACTTTGACATGCGGACCGGAGGAACCAGGTATCAAACCACCAACCCTCTGATTAGTGAAAGACACACTCTACCGTCTGAGCCACAGCTGCCCACAAATGCCTTGGTCATATGAAATTTACGTGATATTTTTAGTTTCTGGTGACCACATCTTTTTTTGAACATAAGACAGTTTACCTCTTTCAAAGAACTTGAACTCTTAACCTTAAACCTTAAAATAGCAGCTTCAAAATCATTTTGATGGTACACAAACTTATAATAGTGAGAATGTCATATCTGTCATTGCCACAGCGCCCCCTGGAAACCTGGAACTGCACTATGTAACTGTGCTGGAACACTACAACCTGCTTTACAGCTTTAAGAGACAAGTAGCTCACCATTCTCAGTATTGACATCATTGGAGAGCCACCAAAGAAACAGAAGAGGACATAATTTGAGAAAACGAAGAAGAGGAGAAGAGAGAGCTAACGCAGGAACCAAACAAGAGTGAATGTTGGAGCATAATTGACTCGAGAGCTAAAAGAGGCCAAAGGATGCAGGACAGATGCTGACCTGTTTTTATTGGAAAGTATCTCATAACTTTTGCCTGTTGAAGTTGTTGACATGCTAGTTTCTCATCACAAGCGAGGTAAGCCCATTTTGATAGCGGTTTAGCAATTTAGTCACACACTATGATGTGATTTTAAACATATCATGCTTGTACAACCCTTTGTGAGCTTGTTGGCTTGTATGCTACTGTCGACATGGTTCTTTGGTTTCTGAGGGGCTTCTTCTCCGTCAACTTGTAAACAAATGCACGTGTGTAGAGTTTTTAGCACTGGGAGGCTCGGACTGCAACTGGTATTTACGACCTAGTATTAGCATCCCACCTGTAGGGGGAGTCTGAGTATAGCCTAGAGCGAATCTTGCCTTCCAACAAAGACATTTCCAAGAAAACAGCCAGTGTGTGTACAACTGCATTACAATGACCTATCTGTGTATCCAGCAAAGTAGATCGAGCATTTAATAAAAATGTTAATGAGATCATTTCCTGAGAGGGAAGATGAAATCCCAGATTCATGATGTGGATTTACCAGAGTAAACATAACACACTTGTGTCACACTTCTGATCAGTATCATGGGTCAGTAAGCTAATGGCCACCTTCCATGTAACTGAGAGTGAGAGAGAAAGTGAATGCACACATGCAAGTGCGTGTGTGTTTGTGTTGTTGCTTCTGGGTCAGTGTGGTCAGGGTGAAGACAACCACAGAGAGAGCATGCTCTGTTCTCTCCATCATGGTCCATTGCAGTCAACAACAGACACTGCCACTGCACGCAGCCGCCGTGTGCGTCCGTGCATCCGTGCGTGCGTGAGTGAAGCTAGATTGCTTCTGTATGTTCTTACTTATGGCAGCAATTCATTTCTTTAATGGAACCACCACTATTAACGCACATTTACTCGCATGTACATTTACCCTTTTCCTGTTCCTGTGACCAAAGAGCATCACCATAATGACCCTTACATATTTAGATATTTTCCAAGCCTCTACTTATGTCCAGCAGATGTCTGTAACGTAAAGATGCTGTAATGCAGACAGACACACATGCATTCACAATCCTGCCCATATGTAAATGTATATGTCACAACTCAGTGTGATACAACCCTGTCTTTAAGTGTCCCCCTTACCCTATTATTTGTTCTCTCTATCAAAGATCAAGGTGAGTAAAGGAGCTGCAGCGGAGAAGTGAAGTTGGCTCTCGCTGACCCTCTCCAATGCACAACGTCAGATTTTAAGCTGTGCTGTTGAATTTCATTATTTTTGCAAGGTTGTGCATCTGCAGCAAAGATACTGACAGTCGCTGCTCTCCTCTATCGATTTCTCTGCAACATCTATTTCCCCCAGGAACGAGACCGCGGGGTCTGAGCATTCACAGTTTGGAGAAACCTATTCCCACAGCTTCCAGTGTTCTATTGAAAACACAGCAGTTCACTTATTATGTGGGGGAACAAACATAAATACTGTGAACCTGGATCAAACATGAGATCCAGACTCTTAAATCAGAAGCAAACACACAAAACGTATCATTATCTCTCTCTGTTAATCAGTCACCTCCAAGGAGGTTATATTTTCACCAATGTGGATCCAAATAAATATCTGGATCTAGTGGATTTAAAAGTGTGGGCCACCATAGACCTGTAAATCTGTAACTGACCACTATTGTGGTTTCTTTAGTAGTTTTAGAACAATGGGGAAATGAACGGGTGGAGAGTCAAAAGAAACACTACCACAAAACATTCCTCTCTTTAGTATTCAATAACTCAACAATGGGGAAATCAAAACAAAGAAACACATCAGATATTGACATTGAATCAACTTTTCAGCTCTTGTTTGTGTTACCTGTACTGGCAAACGTAAAACAGTTTCACCTCATACTAAACCGTAGTTATAATGTGCACAGTATGAAACTGCAGACACACAGGTTAGCAAGTGACTGGTGAAGAACACTTAACACACAAATGAGAGGGACACACCAAACATGTGGGAGATCATCTAGAAAGAAAAATGCATAATTTCTCCATCCACTGGGTTCCACTATTGTCCTTTGTAAATTTCGGGTGTCCACGGACAGCCAAAGATTTGTGACCATGCTGACTGCGCACGCTCCAGATACAATACATCCACCTATTGGAAGTAATTGGAAATGAACAAGGGATCGGGTACTCATGCACGGAGCTCCAGACCCAAGCAGACGCACATTTTTTATGAATGGAACTGTGGGCATGTACATGTGTCCAGAACAAGTACGCAACTCTCAGCGGAAACGGAACATGGAAAGTATGATCAATGTTTAAATGCTCATACACTCTACAGGTGGAGACAGTTACATTGATGACACTGAAATGCTCAGGTAGCTCTTGTGTTGGATGTGTAGGGAGGAAGTTGTTAGCTAAAATCTACATAATAAAGCCATTACTTGCTCATCAGGAAAATGTTCAATGTAGTGAGTGGGTTTTAGAGACCCTAGTGGTCAAAAATAACACAGCAGATGAGACCATGGAGTTTATATATAGATAGATGATGTATCTATGCATCTGCATAGGATTTTCTCATTTGAAGCCAAAAGTTCCTAATGCAGTTTTGCATTTTACAGTTATTATACTGTAGTGGAATATAATGAATATCATAATACGCTGTTGACCTGTTTATTTATGAGCATAAATACGATATGAATTATGAAGACATGGTCAGAGTTGTTCTCTTGTACGTTGTTACACTTACTGCTAATTTGCATTCAGATTAATATCACGTGACTATGTATCTTCATTGTTATGATTGTGGAATGACCGAAAGTTAAAGCCCTCTCTGGTGTGATGTCTCTGTTGTGTCCACATCTTGAACATCTGTCTGTCTAGTCTCTGTTTATATTAGTGCTGAGCAGCCACACAGCAGGGGCCACATTACAGGAGATGCAATCAGATCCTAACTATGCAACAGCAAATGCCCTAATCACACACCATCTATCACAATTGGGCTCAGTTCTAATAGCTGCTTTATTACATTACAGCCTGTAATACAAGTGAGACATGGATAAAACAGAAACACAAACACAAACACAGATCCAGGCTCACTCCTCTCACTCCCAGCATCATTACATATATACAGACATGGCATGAGAATCTCTCTTTATCTATACCTCTCTTCCTAACAACATCTTAATGGTATAATGTGCCAGATGATTGAGGCTATCAGCTTTTTTTTTCATAGACAGCACACCACATCACATCCATGTGGGAAAAGATAAACTGGGATTTTGAAGAATCAAACAGTGGTGGAATAGTTTGAATGTCTTTCCCAAAGCTGGGTTCCCTCTGAACTCTGGAGCCTCAGGCTGTTTGGTCATTTTGGGATCTTCTGAAGTCACTCATGTCCTGCTCTCAACAAACAAACTGACCTTAACCATTTTATCAGATTTTAAAGGAATGATGTCAAACTTTTTGGAAGATAATAGACTGATTTTACAGACTATAAGGTGCAGGACATGATCATAAATGTCCCCAGACACTGTAAAGTCCTGGACAATGGGAGACAGGATGTTTTTATTATATATTAGCACTAACTAATTTAGGAATACGCCTATTTAATGACAGAATTTTATCATGGGGGCACAGTCAGCTGCAGGCCTACCGTGGGTGAGGTCAGCCGGCGGAGGCTCTCCCCCAGCGAGTCCAGGTTCACCCGTCTCCTCCTGGTCACCCTCTTGTGCGGCCCGCCGGGTCCCTGCTGCTGCCCCTCGCCCGCCGGGCACGCCGGCCTCTCGGCGAGGCGGCGGCCGTTCCACAGCACCGCTCTGGGGGCAGAGGGGAAGGAGGAGAAGGGGCAGCCGCGGCTCTCCTCTGCCGGCTCCAGACCGCCGTCCCCCGCGTCCCCGCCGGGGCTCTCGAGCCCGCAGTCCGAGCCCACCGAGCTGCTGAACGACTCGGAGGAGATCTTGCGCGACGACGAGGACATGGTGATGGCGAGGAAGAGGAAGAGGAAGAGGAAGAGGAGGAGGAGGTTGGTGATGATGACAGTGGCAGCGTTGAGGATGATGATGAAGATGATGATGATGATGAAGCTCCAGCTGGTTCCGTACCACGTCCACCTCTACTCCGGGGAGTCATCAGATTCTGAGGGGTTGGGGTGAGGATGGGGGGTTCTGACCATATGATTATGTATGCATATTATGTGTGTGTGTGTGTGTGTGTGCAGGGGGGGTAATGTCCGGGTCAGGTCTGTCTGTGACTATGTGCGCATATGAGACACGTCTGTCTGCGCGTGAGACTCACTATTCAGAGGGGGAGAGAGGGGGAGGTTGGGAGGAGGAGGAGAAAATCAACAAGCAATCATAAGTTTAATTTGGTCTCCATATTAATGAGCATAGAGCTGAAATGTCAGCAAAAATGCAGTCATNAGATGTGGATATCTTTAAAAATTAAAGAAAAAAAAAAACCTCCTCCTTCACCCCCCCAAAACAAATCCAGCCGACTCCCCGGGAGACAGCCCGACTCCCCCGACTCCCCCAGGAGCCTCAGAAGAACATGTGAGCCATCTTCAGGCTGGAAGTCTTCTGAAGTGTCTTCAGGTGGTGACACAGACACAACGTGTTGGTCCTCACTGGTAATTCCGACACATGTTAATCATCCCTGCCTCTTCCGAACAATGTTGCGTCTCCTTCATTCAATCTGTTTCCACCGGAGAGAAAATCCTCTGAATGTCAGGCAGATGTGTCCGCTTCTCCTCCAGCGCTCCTCCGTCCCCTCCTCCTCTTCTCCCCGGTCCTCGTCCTCTCTGCTCCGGTGCGTGTGTCCGCAGACGAGCCGTCCTCACACCGAGCGTCCTCCCTGTTTGACCCTCACTGCACAGCGCTCGGCTTTTTGTCGTCTAGTTTCTGGGGGTCGTCGTCTCCTCCCGCCGGGGTGTGTGCTGCTGCTGAGAGGTGGCGAGTGAGAGTGGAGGTACGCGAGATGTGAGGAGGGAGAGAGGGAGGGAGGGAGGGAGAGAGAGAGAGAGAGAGAGAGAGAGAGAGAGACGTGCGCAACGGCGCGCTGTGCTGCTTTGTAGTTGGACAAAAGAATCAGAAAGAAATAAGATCCATCCCTCCATCCATCCGTCCATCCCTCCATCCATCCCTCCAGGCTGGTGGTTTGGGTTAGGCATGAATTGGTCATGGTTAAGGTTAAGGAGGAGGATTTGGTTAGAATGTCCGCAATGAATGGAAGTCAATGAAAGGTCCTTACAAGAATAGCTGTGCAAACCCTTGTGTGTTATTGTAACATTTAGTTTTTGTTTAAATTCCCAAACCCAATAATGAAGACATGAACTTGTCCTCCTCAGGGACCACAAAAGTCTTCCACTCACAGGACACCATGGTGAAAAAAATAAACCAAATTACAGGTGTTTGGTGAAAATGTTAAGTAAATGTATATGCATATTACATTACACAGTGTCATTCACAAACGTGCCATGTTGGCAGGTAATTATTACAAAGCAATCAAGCAACAGTCACGGCCAGTGAGCGGAGTTCACAGCACTGGGCCAAATGTGTTCAACACGGGAATACAAGGACAAATATGGCTGCACAGGCAGATAATGGAGCTGGCAGCATGGTGCTCGGTGGTTGCCTCTCATCGGAGAGCAGGGCCGTGCTTGTGTCTGGCACTAATCACGGCCGTGACCTTGACCTTGATTGGCAGAGCATGTCTGTTCATTAAGGGCCCCAAAGGGACAAGCAGGGAGACACTCAAACAGCCATGATGCATCATGCAAGGGCGTGCATGTGCATGCGCCACCACACACACACACACACATTACAGTGTAATTTCCTGGAGGTGCCTACTAATTCATTTGACTTTGTGGAGCAGCATGACCCCAATACACCGCAAAGAATTTCACTCCTCTAATACCCACCCACCCACACACACTCTCTCTCTCTAACACACACACACACACACACACACACACACACACACACACACACACACACAGTCTCCATCTCGCTTCCCTTATCTGGTCGCTTGCTCTTAGCGATCAGTCTGCCATCCATCAGTAATAATGTGGGCATTTAATAAAACCAACCCTACAATGGAATAAATAATGCTTGTGAGGAGATAAGGCCACTGACAGCGCGCAGCCGTGAGCTGGCAGCCTGCAGACATGGAAACAGACCAACAACTGTGCTATCAGGAAATTGGAGTAGGCCAGATAGGAACCCTAACACCTCATCCCCCCACCGATGTGAATCCTGCAGGTATCTAACATGGATGAAATCAAATTCACTTTATTATCTCAAATGAATACTGTCTTGAAAATGAAAAGTATGTCTATAAGTATTGTGCCAGCCAAACACATTATTAATTTAGAGAAACTTTAAATATCAGGCAACACATTTTACAGTACTGCGGCAAATTGGCCCATAAAAAAGTTAGGTAGTGAGAGGAGAGGGAGGAAATAACCAGCGTATTTTGCAGACAGATTTATGGTGTAATTTCAGGTACAACCCTGCATACTTAGGTGAACTCTAGAAGCCTGATACTCACAGAGATATTTCACGTAAAAGCAGTTAAAAAGGGGACAAAACACCATATATAGACAAAACCATCCAGAAACACAGAGGAGAGGAGTTTAGAGCATCGGAACCTGAAACACACGTGTAGCTGTGGAACGCAGCGAGATAAGAAGAGGTTCAGCTCCGTCACACGGTAGCGAGGCTGAACCAGGGGCCTTCCCCTAAGAGATATGTAGAGGACACTCTCATGTTTTAAAGAAATGCAAAACATGAACCACCATTATACATTCATGGATGTGCCTGACACACATACACAGCTTCTTTGTACAGCTATCTTAGTGAGGACACTCATTGGCATAATGCATTCCCCAGCCCCTTACCCTAACCATCCAAACTAAATGCCTAACCCTTAACCTCACCTAAACCCTAACCCTAACCCTAAAACCAAGTCTTGACCCCCAAACAGTCCATTAAAGGGGAGGTCACCTACGGAATGAGGACATTTTGGCCGGTCCTCACTTTTGCCAAAAATCACCTCACTCAGTAGGTTAAAGGCTTGAACTGGTCCTCACAAAGACACACACACACACACACTTTGAGCTTTCCACTGCTTTGCACTGTGATTAGAGGTTATACATCTTTAATCTCTCCTCTGTGTGTGTGTGTTAAGTTTTTTGGGAGGCCGTCAGCTTGGATTTTGTGACACATGACGACTCTGCATTATCTCCTCAATTTCTGTCTCCTGCTTGCGAATGATGCACAATGAGCAGTGTGAGAGAATGTGAGGGATTTAGAAAGAGAAGAAATAAAGGTACCCCGAGGCAGAGAGGGCGAATCAATGAATGAATAAAACCAAGCTACAGAGGAGGAAACAGCGAGGTGTGAGGGGTGGTGAAATCCCTCTAGTGTGTGTGTTTGTGTGTGAGGTATAGACAGAGAGGAACAAGAAATGGCCGCCCCCATCATAAATCTGTCCCCAGCCAATCTAATTGGCCATAACCATATATTACTCCACGCCACTCTGCTGCTATTAACCATGAACCTGGGCCTCTCTGTCACTTGCACAATATAAATTACCCCGTGCACGGTCCCAGGGAACAGCTTCTAAAGAACACACAGAGGAAAAGAGTGGTAAATTGCATGTTGTGGTGTTAACACTGTAAACTGCAACACAAATTCAGTTGAATATCCTATAAATGTGTCATTATCATCTGACCTTATGATACACATTTTGATTATAGGTGGTTATTTTTCTCCAGCACTTACGTCACATGGTCAACTGGTGGACAGAGGAGGCTGACAAACTCAATTAGTGCAGATTTATGATGGAGCCGCTTCTCCACGTGGAGTTTTTTTTTTTTCAACAAACATCAAATTAAAACCGTTCTTACATGTGATGGCTCAATATCAGTGTAGGAAATAAATCTCTGGTAAATTTAAACCATAAGGCAACAAATGATAACATGGGATAATGGCTCTCTGCAGCCACATTGCATCTTCAACATTAACAAGAAAGTCGTGCAGGGCTAAAGGAGTAAAGTCTAATGTCAAAGAACCCAGCCCACCAGTGCTTGATAATTAAATGAGTAAAATAATGATGTGTGTTTGATAAAAATGATAGATTACTACAAGGTACAATGATAGATTACTACAAGGTACAAGGTACAAATCCCTGTGTGACCACAAACACATAACAACAGATCAACATGAAATCCTCCTCTTCTGTGATCCACACAGATTCAGCACGAACCAGCTGCACCCATGCACCACATGGAGTCTGAGATGAAACCTGGAAATAAGGTGAGCCTCTGAAGTGATGAGCTTCAAAGAGCCAATAGCACGACTGAAAAAAACAGAGATGAGGTCGCACACCAGGGCAACATGGTTGATTGCTCATGAGAGCAAGTGTATGGCAGGCGTGAGGGCTGCGATGCTGCAGTGTGTGCGTGTACACACTCGCCCGGGTTGACTGTTATGACACTGAAACCTCTTAAAATGAAGTGACAGCTGCAGCAGATCATGAGGCCGCAGAGTAAGAAATTAAATCCCTGCACTGGAGAAGAGAGAGAAGCTTGAAAAATGGAGCGTGGAGACGCTCGATTCAAATTCCCAACTTGGCTGCAAGAATATTCTTCATACATGTTCAAATGTCCAGTGTTTTTATTGTTTTCTATGGTGGTGGTTCAGATGCTGCAAACACTGTAAAACCACAATCCTTTTTAATAAATCATTAAGATTTAAATAATGAAAAAAGTATTAAAAATTAGCTGTATCTTCAAATTGATTTTGTTTATTTTTCCTACATGAATGATATTAATGCAGCGTGATGTCACTCTACATATTTCCCTTGGTGCCTAAGGGTGCTGCCGCCCCCAGTTTGAGATTTCAGAAAAATTTTTACGCAAACTATGAAAAACAGACTACAGTGTTTAAATATGTTGTGTTATTTTTTTTGATGGAAGATAAGATTTTGGTCTTGAGAGCTTTTAAAAACATGGTTATACGTAATAACTTCTGCCGTGTTTATGTAACACACAAATGACAGCTAATACATAAATCAATTAATTTGTTTTTTATTTAAGAAAAAGGTTCCCACAATAATACATTTAAAATTGTACTGACGCCTGCACAGTTTGTACGTCTGTGAGTTTGTCGTCTTTCCAAGTCAAATCAAACACGCACAGTTTTCTGTCTGTGTTCATTTAGCTCTCAGTCTTGGTGCAGTCGAACGATTTCCACCACTGTGCAAACTGCAGCACTTTCTTCCTTTGATCGTCAAAGTTCTCTCTGATCAACTTCCTCCAACGACGCGGCTCCAGGTCCATCATGCCTCCAACCACTTCCTGAGGGGGGAGGAGAGATTGATTGCTTTTTTTGAAATATTGCCGTGAGAATTTGCTTGAATTGATTAGTTATGTTAGGAAAACAATCAAATAAAGAGTGGCATTAAAATCCTAACAAAGTTCATGTTAAACAACTTTATCATGACTGTTGGTAAAATATTTCAGTCAGCTATACAGTGGCAGCTCTAGCTTGTATGGCGTCCTGGGCAAAACCCTGACAGTAGTCGCTTTAAGTCTGACTAACAATTTATTAAACTTGTATAATGAGTTATCATCAAACATGTTCTTAAATCTCTGTTACACAATGTAATGAAGTGACTTAGTCTGATTTAATTTAAAGTGAGCCGGAAATCCAGCTCAATCTTTGGAAGATCAATTTGAGCTGCGACCCAGTCACACATGCACAGGTTTTATGGAGTTACTGGAACAAAATGATAGTGACTTCTACAATATAAAACTGTACGAGAAGAAACGGCTTTAATTCAAAAACTGACCTTGCCAAAGTAATGAGGGAACTTCTGTTCATTTTCTATGACATGAGCAAACCCTCCCTGGAGTCCAAAGTCTACGGCAAAGTAGGGCAGACCTCGAGGAACCTAGCAACACACACACAAGAAAACTTTAAAAAGAATGAAAGAGCGGAATAGAGTGAGAAAAGAAGAAGCAAAGAAAAATGATCGACAGATTGTTAAAAAGAAAAAAAAAAGAGCATACAGCATGGCGGACGTCTTTTGAAGAGAGGTCGACCACCTTCTTGTTCATGGCCCATTCCTCATCACACTCCATGATAGCTTTCTGGAGACAAAGAAAACATTTATAATTTTACACCAATTTGATTTTCATGCCTTATACTCAAACCTATGTCTTCATTAAATGTGCTTCATCACAACAATGAGACCACAGACCTTAAAATATATGGGTGCCATATCACCCAACTCTCGGGGCAGTGGGATACACTCTAGGACCATGTGTTGTCTTCTGCGTGGGTTCATGTGTGTTTCCATGAACACGCAGTCCATCTCCTGGGATTCAAACATACGCACCAAAGTACGCCGGAACAGCTGGGGGCAGCAAAGCCAAATGGAACTCGTGTTAAATTTTTACTCATTGAAAAAGTGAAATCAGACTTAGGTTCTGATTTGATGAACCACTGCTGCAAAACAACAGTCACAGAAGTTGTCATTCTGATTGGCTGACCTGTATTTCTGACCAGACATCCTCGTCCAATCCGGTGGCAGAGCAGTGATGCTGGAGGGGACAGATGAGACAGTGGCCCTCCGTCATCGACACTCCTGCAGGAAGGCTCAGGTACGCCTGCACACAAGATCATAAACCCATACTGTTCATATTAGCCCCTAAAATTAAGACCTACGATAATAATTAAACTAACCTTGACAACTGTAAGTCAAACATCACATCTTTATCTTATATTTGAAGACGTAATGTAATTTCAATTGGACAGCTGATCTAAACGGGGGCTGAGACATCTGCCACAGGTTCTCTGTCATGTTTGGAAGGGGGGGGGGGTGTTCAGCTGCAACATTCAACTTTACCACAAGATGTCACCAAATTCTACACACTGAACCTTTAAGCGAGCGACGGCTCACTTGACTGCCGTTCTGTTGTCTTTCACTTCTGTTGTGGTTGTGTTTCTGTTGTGTGGCTTTTATAGTCGTGTTGTCATTTCTGCCTTTGTGTTGTGGCTTATGCAGTTGCATTGTGGATTTTGCATTCATGTTTTTCGTTTCTGCACTTGTGTGAGACGTCTCTGCCACCGTTGATCTGACTTAAAGATACACTGAAAGACAAAAGCTTTGTGAAATAATGAATAAAGCTCACTCGTCCCGTCTGAAAAAGCGGTCCCACATTCACAATGCCTTACCTTGCTGCCAATTGCCACTATGAGGTGCTTCTGGAGCTCTTGGCTGCTGAAGCAGTGGTGACATTTCTCCAGAGAGGCTGCCAGCCTCCTACTCTCCCCGATGGCTCTGCTCCTCATCCTCTCCTCCTCCATCCCCTCGCCCTCCCGCTGTGCTGCACTCGACACAAACATGTCATCCAGGGTGTAGTTGTCGCCGTCTGTCTTTCCCATCATCTGGGGAGTCGAGTGGAGCACAAGTGGTGGCGATGGAGGCGATGGGCGTGACAGACGAGACAGAAGGTTAAAGTGGATGAGGAGATGTAGATGTGGGGAAGAAGAGAGGAAGAGAGAGAGAGTGAGTAGTTGACAGGCATGTGATCATTACTGACAAAACCTGGTGCATTTTCTCTATCCAATCAAAAGTGTGGGAAGAACATGCTACAGTAAAAATATTCACACTCTGTGGAATCTTTATGTAAATTAGAGGCACGTTATATGATGAGGAGACTAAAAGTAAACAATTCAATGCTGGCACTCCTTCAAAAGTGGGAAAGTGATCATTTAAAGGTCCAGTGTGTAAGATTTAGGTGAAAGGCATCTATTGGCAGACATTTTATGTAGAATTATCCTCATGATATTTTCATTAGTTAATTTCATCTAAATTGTATGAATTGTAGTTTTCTTTACCCCAGAAAAGGCCCTTTATATTTAAATACTTTATATTTACATGGGGGGGACCCTCTCTATGGAGGCCGCCATGTTTTTTACATTAGTCCAGACTGGACAAACTAAACACCTTTTGAGTTTTTATAACAACTGAAGCTACCACAGTTTCTTTTTTATGTTTGGAAGGAGAGGGTGAGGTGAGGGGTGTTCAGCTGCAACATGCAACTTCAACACTAGATGTCACTAAATTCTACACACTGTACCTTTAAAAACTACTGTAGAGAGGCCAACTGGCTGCTAGCTTCACTAATTGGTTTTTGTAGGTGCTGACGCAATATTATCGTCTGTGCCGTTTCCACGGATTATTCGTTGTGTGTGTGTGTGTGTGTGTGTGTGTGTGTGTGTGTGTGTGTGTGTGTGTGTGTGTCTGCATGCAATGTGCCTGAACTGCCCTCTACATCTCAGTTTGTCTCGGTGTGTTAACGGTGTGTGACAGGACAAGGCGTATCGACTCTAGCGTATCTACGTCTGGGCATTGTCACCATGGCAACCAGGCAACAGGTTGGAATCTGTGTGTGTCTGAGTGAGAGCAAGAGGCAGGCCTGGTTGAAGTGGTGTGTGTGCATGACTCGCTGTGTAGGAGAGAGTGAGGGTGAAAATTGGATTAGTTTAGTGGCAGTGTGGGAGGGAGTGTGTGTACGTGTGTGTGTGTGTGTGTGTGTGTGTGCATGTTTGTGCTGCATTACATAGGTGTCCAGGGGCGGACATTTTTATTTTCTTGCACACGTACATTAAGTCACATGACACACACACTAACTTGCTGTAATATGGTAATAAATTAATATACCTGACGTCAGTCTTCATATTCACTGCTCATGATCTTTTCTTTACATAAGTGTCAGCTAATGATCAATGCAGGAGAGCTGGAAGGGATTTGCATACTGCATTGCTGGCATACTACTCATGTATTAATATAAAATGCACAGCATGATATCTCCAGACAATAGCAGATTGTCACTGACCAATGGATAAAACTTCCAGTTGCTAAGCTTGCAGAAACATGATGTAATCCTTTTCTAAACGGTACAGATAACTACAGGTTTTTTTTTTTTTTTACTCTGGCAACTTTAAAGGCGCGTTAAGCAATTTTAATCCAATATTTTGTTGAATATGGCCCGCCAGCTGAAGCGGGTCCTCTCTATGGAGGCTGCCATGTTTTTTACATTAGTCCAAACTGGACAAACTAAAATCCTTTTGAGTTTTTATGAAAACTGAAGTCTACCCCAGGTTCTCTGTCATGTTTGGAAGGTGGAGGTGAGGTGAGGGGTATTCAGCTGCAACACGAAACTCGTCCACTAGATGTCACTAAATTCTGAACCTTTAAAACGCATTTAAAAGCAGTCTGGTGATTCATTTAAGAGCAAGTTTGTGTGATAAGGCTCGTGCAGTGTCCATCCTTTGAGGAGTATGAACCTCGGTGATGATCATCTGCTCTATATTTTTTAATAGTGCACTGGACAGCTGCTGTACGCAGTTGACGGAAAAAACACTTGCTTGGACAGTAACGTGAAGAGATTGGCCGTCTGCCATCAGCAGCTTTAAGCCTAAACTTACTCATCAAGCATCTATTTATATTTTTGAAGCACTAACCAGCAGATTATTACTATTAAAGCAATTTCTTTGTTAAAAGACTTATCTTTTTTTTAACAATTTCATTACAGATGGACAATAGAAGAATGATCAAAGATGGAAGATTAGTAACACTGTGACAAAAAATGGACATACACATAAAAGGATTAGAGATAATTATAGAAGGAGTGAAAGAGAAGGGAGGAAGGGACGAAAAGAGACGTGTAGTTGCAGGGATGGGGGGGATGCAGGGATAGAGTACAGCACGCTCTCTCTGATCATAAATCTATAGTTGTGATTAGAGATGGTATTTATAGAAGCTCTGCCATGGTAACTAAGGATGTATTTTTAGTGTCAATTTTTGTTGCTGTAGCACGCATGTGTTTATTTTAATAGGTGGGCAAGTGTAATGAGTGAGTGAGTGAGTGAGTGAGTGAGTGAGTGAGTGAGTGAGTGACTGGTTTGTTTTTATGTCTACCTTCTTCTCACTCACATAATCTTTTCTTTCAACCTCTGCTGGGCCTCAGTTCTTCAACACATATTCAGTTACAGCTCCATTATGCTGTCTGTGATTATTTTTATATTATTCTGAGTCTTTTCTCTCAAACTGCTGAAAGCACCTGTCATCATTTGGTGATTCTCATGAACATAAGAAAAAAAAATCCTTTAAATTATCCTTTGTGAAGCTCTTATTCTTAAGATAAGAGCTAAAGAGAGCGGGAAATCTGTCGAAGCAACAAAATATCTGAGTGCAAGTCCACAGAGCAAATCTAAACACAGGCGGGGCACATTTTCCATATTAAGTACGAGCAACTGCAACAAATTGACAGAAGCCAGAATGCAAGCCAGCTTTATCTGCCATACTTGAGTTTGTACGCAGGTACGAACAGTTCTCTCCTGCACTGTTTCATTGTTTTCGACCCAATGAAACGGCTTTTTCCTCATCAGATACATTTTGTTTTCTTTTGGCTGAATATTTGAGGAAGGTGACACAGTGTCAGGTACAATCTCTGACCTTGCATCTAATATGATCATAACAGAAAAGAAAGTGAGGCATGTTGGCAGAGGTGAAAGGGAAAAATAGAAGCCTGATCCACCAGAGCGAGAGCACTGGTCAAACAATAAGAAAGTAAAAAATAAATAAAAGCAAACATCTTCCATTTTGTAAATGTATTCAATCTGGCTGCAAGGATTATGTTTTATTAGTTACAGCACTAGTGAACCCCCATAAATGCACTTTAAAGTCAGAATAACTGATCTGTGCCCTGCTATAACAAGCCGTTATTTTTTTTATGGTCAGTCACTTTATTATGGATCACACTTTTCATCTAGTTATCAGTATCTAGGCCATGCGCAGCGCTGCCAACTGGTACAACCATCGTCTTCTTACCTTGGCAGCCATGCGGGAGTAGAGGGCGTTCTGATCCTGTGCTGAGCTCATCTTCTCCCTCTTCACCATCTCCTTCAGACCAACATTGTCATCATCCTGGAAGTAGCGCACACGCTGTCCATCAGCATGGGTCTCAATCTGAGGAGAGAGGTAGAGAGGAGTGTGAAAAAAGGAAGGAGGGACAGAGAAGTGAACAGGAAAAATCATTGGAAATAGGGTGTAAAAAAACTCAGAGCCAGTTACAACCCTGCACTTGTTATTCTCTGATTGAAATCCCCCCTACTTTCCTACCACACCCCATCCCGCTGTCTTTACCTGTTTCTTTTTCCGTCGTCCTCCATGGGGCTCCTGAGGTCCAGAGGGAGCGTTGACTGGCCAGGCTCGACCCGACTGATCTGTTCTAAACAGCAGGACCTCCTGATCTTCAGTGGAGCGACCTGGGACCTGGAAAGAGAAATCACAACCAGGTCAAGTCCAGAAGGCTGGAAGACTTCTAGTTTGTTATCACAACAGACACATTCACAAAATGTATGCCTGATATCATCCATCAGATCAGTAATGCAGCGTTGACAGGCCTGGCCTGTAAGAGCTTGGATGACTTCACCACTAAGCACAGGTTTTAATTCCTGAGGGCCAAACCGTATTAAGTCTAAAACACATAAAACCGAGTGTTTTAATTAGTCTTGTAACTCACTATGTATTGAACTATCTTGTCAGTCGCTAGGTGGACTGACTCGCTGCCTGTGAACTCAACAATAGCCATCTGGAAATGTTGTGGATTTTGTCTGAAAACCAAGACCTCAAGGACAGAGGAAGTATTTTCTCTTTGACTTATATTCCACTGATTGACAGTCAGAATGGAAATATCTCACATTGACACATCAATTAACATCCAAAAGAAAGGTCATTAGTGTTGAAAACGCTGGGTATTATCTGGGATTAATTTGTTCACATGAAATATTTTATAAAAACACAGATTACCAAATATATTTATACTTCCCAAGTATGATTATCTAATTGTATTATATTCAAGTTGTTGGGAGTATTTATAAATGACACAGTGAAACCTTTGCATAATTGAACATTAAGTAATGTGGACAGAAAGAGAAGAGAAGCTTTTTGGTCCAGCAGTATAATGTTCTGATAAAATTGTAGCACAAAGGTCTGTGTTTTTCTTTCTGGCCTTGTTATGAGGAGCTGAAATCTAGAGTAAAAAGAACACAGTATCTCATCATCTCATCGATTTATTAGAGTAACAACAACCTTATGTAACCGCAGCCACTGATTAGACAGCCTAAAAAAGACTGGACTGACTGGACTGACAAATAGAGACGGACCAGACACAGGACGAAGGTGGGAGAAGCAGAGGAAGAGAAACAGTCAAAACAGAATGTGAGATAGACTGTCAGAACAAAATATGATAGAGAAGAATATTTCTTTGCTCCAGTCGCCTCAGTTGGGTCACCTGAGGCTCCACACACAGCGAAGAGTGAATGTGAGCGACTGAACGTTGAGGAATTGCCAAAAGTCGTCCATAACGAGACAAACTGGAAGGATCTCGAACGAGTGCAAATCAACGGCACTCCATCTTTAAGAGGGCCAAAGTACCTCTCGGCTGATAAGTGCACTAAAACCTAAGAATTATGACATTTTCTCTGAAAGCTTTCAGAGGATCTCATGCTAGTATTTTAATTTGACAGGACAGCCTTACTGGGGATGCATTTGGCCAAACTTACAAATTATGATAAAGAGTTTATATAAATAATCACAGCCTGCTACTCTTATTTTTATAAAGATGTCTGGAGTCTGCTCATGTAGGAAGTACACTGCCATTTATCTGGGAATATAAGTTTGAGTGTGTGCGTGTTTATGTATCCAGAAGAAAAGGCAGTAAGTGGAGATAAAGCAGTGCTGAGATGTCAGGGCACAGCCATTGCTCCCTGTTGAGGGCTTATACTACAAAAACAGATAGGATGGTATATATACTGGTGTATATACGCTCTCTTTTTCAAACACACACACACAAACACACACTCTCTGAACGACCTCTGGTAGGAGAGACATTCTGCTTAAATGCAGGCAAGGAGGTGTTTCCGCACAGAGAGCAGGACAAGAGCTGAGCATCGTGGGGTCTTCAAACAAACTAGTTCCTTTTAACAGCAGTCAGATGGAAATTCATCTGAGGACGAGTGTGTGTGAGATGCTTTTCCTGCTTCCCATATTGTGTGAGGTGGCTGTTTCACTAATTTATCTTTTTAGTTGTGTGGGCAAATTTTTGTTTTGACGGTTATGACTTGATATCATTTAGGCTTGAGTGTTTGGATTTGTTATTTAGACAAAGGAAGATGAAAAAGAAGCAGCCAGCAGATGAATGGCACAAGATGATTCAGTGTGTGTGTTCTGTGTGTGTTTGTATGTCTAATCATGTGTATGCATGCGTTGTCATGTCAGTTTATATACCCAATTTAGTTGTGTGTGTATTCGGGAATTAATATGACTGAACATGTGAAAATCTTCAGTATTGTTTATGAAGTGTGTTTCAATGTGTGTGCGTGTTTGTGTTGGATATATAAAAAGTAAAGGGTAAACAACACTGTGTAGATAAGCACAAGCGAAAAACGTATTAAGATAAGAAAAGCACATAAGAGGGGAAATGGAGAGAAGAAAAACAGTTTCCGATTAAAAAAGTTCTTCCATCTTTCTTGACTGGACTAATGATTGTTTTCTTTTTAGAGTTAAACTGTGAGTATAAAAAAAAAAACTTGCTTTACTGAACGTAAAACAAATGGAGTCTAATACAACAGGCTGCAACATATCCTGCCTTCACTGAAGTTAATCTTCAAGTTTAGTAAACACTGTTCAGGAGGGATGTTTAACTTTGTCATCATTTCCGAGGCTATACTTTAAAATATAATTTTTTGAAATTATATTTTTTTATTATGAGAAAAGTGTCCTATTTGTCCTTTCTCCTGATCACTTGTTGACAGTGACTGTGTTGACTTACTGTATACCATCTACACACCTGGTTGGATTTAGCCGTGTCCAGTAGCTTCCTTCGGGCGACGTGGTCTTCTTTGGCTTTCCGTGCTGCCTCCAGTTGTGATTTCAGCTTCTCAACCAAAGTCTGCAACACACACAGATACACATAATTACATATTTGACAAAAAAAATCTTTTCATGTAAACATCAGCTCAGATTAAGTCATTCAGTAGTGCTGGAAATATAAGACAATACAATCGAGAGAGAGAGAGAGAGAGAGGGAGAGAGAGAGAGAGAGAGAGAGAGAGAGAGAGAGTTTGGGGGATATTGGTGTGATTGCTTTGTCGTGTAGGGAGATGCTGGCTGTCAGGTTGAAAACACTTATAGGTGTAAGAGTGTGTGAAAGTGTGTGGGTTTGACAGTCAGCCCTTTGACACCCTCTATAAGAGATCCCAATAGCACTCTTAGCATTGCCAAGTGAAGGCAGAGGGTACGTTAAGTGCACCGATCAATAAACACTATAAATTAATGGATCCCCTGACATGCTGTTAAATCTATGCAAAGGCTTGAAAGAAAGATGTTCAGAAAATCAAATCAACTGTAAAGCTAAAGCTAGTTTTCTGCCAGTCCACCAAAACATGTTTATAGTGTTTATTTGAGGAAGTTATACCTCCTCAGTCATTTTAAACAAGTGTTTATTTAGTTACAATTAGTCTTAGAATCAAAGAGAGGGGTCAGGACTTTGACAAATCTCTGAAATGCTCAGGTGAAAGGTGGCACCTGGGTAGAACATGTAGGGTAGAGGACATAGTATAAAATCTGCTGTGAAAATCACGTTTTTGTTTACGGCACATCAACACCAGTGTCGACCCTAAAGCTCTTGAATCCCATTGTCTTTCCAATTTGACATCTTCATCTGTGTCTTCTACTCTTTTTCATCCTTAGATGTCAAGCAGTATTATAACGCTAAGCCACTCACCGTTTTGCCCCTGATCTCTGCCTTCACCAACTCGCTTGCCAGTCTGTTCATCTCTTCCTCTGACAGCAGAGGAATCTCCTCTTCCTCCTCCTCTTCTTCCTCACTTTCACTCTCAATTCTGGGACAAAGAGGACAGTGAGAAGGGCAGAACGCTAAAAAAGTTAGTAAAGGAAATTTAAAAAATGAGAGAAGACCAAACAGCGGTACCACTACAACGGGTCCTGTGGCTGAGAACTTCTCCAGCTCTTACTGCCACAACTCAGCCTCTGAACAACAGGATTCAGTGACTTCCTCTCTGGTTATAACCCTGAAATCCACTGATGGGAAACTTATTTGGGAAGATTTTTTTGTTTAACCTAGTTGTTTGTTTCCGAGCTCTCACAGTGTTTATCTGTTTTGATTCATTTGAGTCTTTGTGCCCCCCAGAGATCATTACAGCTTTGTCTGTGAGAATCTGAAGTACAGCGTTCTAGTCTATTACACTCTTCATAGCCTCATTTCATTCTGCTACCCCACTGCAAGACTCATTTTGTGCTGCAGGGGTTCCATGTGCTGGTTTACCCAAACAACTTAGCCTAATGAGGCACAGCATGGCACTAAGGAGGATTGAGGAAGCAGCGGTCCTCTGACATCTGGCCCGCGACACTGCTATATGTTGGACGCACAAGAAAACATGCACGTTTCTGATGCAATCGTTTGACTCAGTTCCAAAGATTCTCTGATCTCCAGACATTTGGTAGGCTTAAAGTTTAGAATCACTTTAAATGAGACATGTTCCAGGTATGTTGCAGTTATAGTTTAAAGAAATGCATAATGACATGAATTTTGAAGGTAGCAAAACAAAAAGTTTAAAACCTTGATGTTGTCACAGCAGCTTTGTCACCACATGCACCAGCCTGAGGAGCAGCTACAGTTTTCTCACAGATCTTCTCTTTCTCCTGCTGTGGTTTTTCCGAGCTGTCAGATTCTGGGGCTGGTTTGCTGTTCTTCTTCCAGTGTGGAACGCCAGCGTTAAGTGGACCAGAGTCTTCATCATCAGAGCTGGGTTTCAGGAAGCCTGTGGTGGGCCGAGCTGAAGGAGGACGCTCTGGGGCTGAACAGCAAAGACATCACAAAGTGTGTTAAAGCTACCAAGACGCTTGGTGTGTTTGACTACAGTGTTTAGTGTTTGCCTCTGCTGAATTTGACTCAGGTGTCAGAAAAGGCCTCGACATCAACCCACCCTCAACGCTGTCATCGTCTTCTGAGGGTTTGAGGAAGTGACCTTTTAGTGAACTTTGTGAGAGGGAACTTTGACTCCAAGACGAAGATGATGATGAAGCACTGGGTTGATCTCTTTCTCTATTTCTTTCCCTATCTACATCCCTCTCCCTATCTCTTCTTCCATCCCTTTCCCTCTCTCTGTCCCTCTCCCTGTCTCTTCTTCCATCCCTTTCCCCCTCTCTGTCTCTTCTTCCATCCCTTTCCCCCTCTCTGTCTCTATCCCTGTTTCGGTCTCTGTCCTTCTCTCTATACCTGTCTCCATCTCGACGTCGTTCCTCCCCTCCCCCTCGATATGCTCCCCTCTCCCCCTCCTCTCCTCTCCCAGCACGGTATCGCTCCTGGTCTCGAGGTGATGAGTCCCTTTCTCTTTCGTTTTTTCTCCACCGGCATTCATCTTCTGCATCTCCCTCTTTTCTCCTCCATCTCTCACGGGTCTCAGCCTCTCCTTCCCTCCACCTGTCTCTTGATGGGCCTTCTCTTCCTCGTCCTCCTCCTCTCTTCTGTTCATATGCAGCTTCCTCAGCTTCGGCAAGTCTCTGCTGAAATTCTTCCATTGACTGGAAAAAGGAGAAACACCACACATATCAAAATACTTTCCCAGGTTTTGCAGCCGAGATCTATTTAAAACCAACATGCATGTACCTTGAAATGCCAGACTAAATGGTAATCAACACATCCAAATCTCCATTTAGAAAAAACTCAACAGCATGCAACATCCTGATCTGCATAACCATATGTGCTTGTTAAACTGTGCCTGCCAGTGTGTGTGCCACTGCCAGTGTGCCATCAGTTCTCACTCCATATCTCTCAGCCACCACATCATTGACGCTGCGCTGCTCCCTCTCTGCCTGCTCCTTCATCCTCTGGTAGCTCTTCCTCAGCCAGCTCAGACCTCCATCATTGACGACTGAGCCTGAAGGAACAGAGGAAGAAAAACAGATACAAAAAATGTGTTTGCTCCATTTAACTAATTCTGAGCCCCCAAGTGAGTCAGTCATATTTTCCACATTGTCATTAACTTGTGACTTATTACTCAAAAGATAATAAAATGGTATAAAGTCAAGTTATGTTGATTATGTCACTTCACTACAGAATAATCAAGAAGGACATGCGGAAATTCAAGAAGACATTAAAAGATCTTTTAATTTAAAGAAATTTTAAAATGTTATTTTCAATGTACATCCCATAACTAGATGTTGCAAAAACTATTCATTAAGAAGTTGGGGAAAAGGGATTCATGTTGATCGATGTAAGGAGCAGAGAGAGAAATATTGAATTTCGAGAGGATTGTTTAATCATGTGCTTGTTTTATATTATTCAGGGTAGAATTCATAAATAAAATCAGTGGCCAATGAAAACAAACAACAAGTGACAGACTATGATGAGCCAAGAGGATGATGCTGATTGACAAGTTTTTAAACTGGAGGAAATCAAACAAATAATAAAATACTCTTGATGTAATTTTAATATTCTTTCAATATGGAAAAGTTATCTTTTGCATCACTTCAAATTCAACTGTTTATCACCTGTTTTAGTCCTGGAGCATTTCATCTGATGTTAAACAAAGTGTTACCAACAATTTTATTCTCAACAAAACAGCCTGTACTGCCTACAACACCATAATTATAACACAAGTAAACAACATTTCCATCTGGCTCTGATGTTGTCTATGTGACAGAAAGGTTTGCGTCAGCATATTCTGCTTGGATGTTAAATGTAAATCTTACAACAGCGAGAGGCCATGCTGTGGGAACTGTAATTACTATGTAAAGATAAGAGACACATGTACACATGCCTGCGTGTGCCTGTCAGCTTAACCTTCAGATGCTCTGCACCACGACTCTGCACCTCTCTGCCACCTCACATCTGCCACCTGGACTCTGTATCTGTTAGGGGTCTATGCCTCTTGACCTGATTTTAACCTTTGTTTAACTTTTTAAATATTCACTTGTTACATATGTTTTACTGATAGGTGTTGGGGTCTCAAAGTCTGTTGTATTGTAAGGTGTAGTTGCATGTCTAGAGAGGCGCTGTGCTAGAGAATTATGTTTAGAACTGTCAGTGGAGAGATACAAATCTCCACCTCTTCTACAAGAGATTTCTGCTTGTGCTTGAATGTTGGTGAGAATAACATTATAAATAAAATCTGGTGTGAAACTATTCTGAGGTGTTGAGAGCATTTTTGTGGAATATTTTACATGGCTGGAAAAATGTGTTGACAGCAGAGAGTTGTGATCTCAAATAATTATTACCTTTCTTTACTGCAGTACCAGCCGTCACCCCTGGGGGCATGCCAGTTCCTCCATTCTTCCAGTATGGATTTAACTCCAGTTTGTGTAAACCAGCCTGAATGAACCACAAACACAAACCAGAATCATTTCTGTGCATTTTAAAAAACATAACTTGGAAGCAAATAATACAAATCCAGATAAAACCATGCTGTAAACAATAATTACACAAAAACGCAAGAGTAAACTGCTGTCCAAGAAGGGACACCCTCTGTTACCATGGTAACCAAGCTCACAGTGCTTCCATATAGTGTGCAATACACAAACATGATTACTCTTTATCTGCCTCTTACAATGACACTTCCAGGTCGTTTTGCGGTATAATTCACATATCAAGCTCATGTGAATGACATTATATAAAGATACTATGTGCATCAGAGGTAACACAGGACCAGCAGAACCAGAGCAGACAGACCAGGCTGAATGTTTAAAAGTGGAGAAACAAACACACCTGTTCAATGGCCTGAGCCTTTGCCCGCTCCTCCTCTTTCTGCTTTTCCTTCTCAGCCCTCCTCTCTGCTGTGGATGTGGTCTTCATCGCCAGGAAGTCAAAGGTCATCCATTCATCTCTCTGTAGGACAGAGTCGGACGGTGAGGAGGCTTAAACAGGCTTCAAAGAGAGGTTAACTGTACCAACCCCAATTCAAAAAAGGGTAAATATAAAAGAGAAAGATAATTGATAGATAAATTGTGGAGTGACACTCATTATTGTTCACATCATTATCCAGGTTATGCTACCTGAACATTCTGGGATGGGCTGAGGCTGCTCTCTGAAGGTTTGGACTCATCGGGAACCTGCCAGGGTTTAGCAGATTGTATCTGAGGCTGAGCCTCAACCCAATCATCCCCAGAGTCCTGACAGAGACAGGGAGGAGAAAACGTTGGTGAGAGAAAGATGATGAAGAAGAAAAACTGTATAGATTATCATATCAAATAATATAGAGGGCGAGGGTTTTTCTTTTATCAAAATCAAACTTAATTTTACCTAGGATTTTACCTAGAGACTTTCTTTAAAAGGTATCCAGCGGTGGAAAATATCATTAATGTACCTCTGAGCTGTTACTGGAGCCATCTCCTGTTCCTACTGTCTTCTTCTCCTTCTTGGCCTTCTTCTCCTTTTTCTTCTTAGATTTCTTCTCTTTCTTCTTCTTCTTGCTCTTCAAACCACCCTCCTGTAGGTGGTTCAGATTCCATGAATTTCATTTTCAATCATATTGTTACTGTTTGTCACTGAGATAGAAAACATCCAGCAGGTATGATACATCTCCATTTCTTCCTCCTGTCTCAATAATGGCAGACTAACTATGAATGTGTGACATATACTGTAAGTGACTATGTTTGAAGACATCTTAGTGTTTGAGCATCAGTATCTTCTTTGTCCTCTGGATAATTGCTTCAATATAAATCATAATGGCAGTTAATGTGTAGATAAATAAAAAAATGCAATTATAAAATACTGTCATGAAAAGCAGATTTCATACTATAAAAGTGTGGAACTGTAACTTTATGCAGTAACAGTCACCACTGTTACGAGGTGTAATAAAGTTATTAGTTACTCAACATACTCTGTCTGTTTTGATATGCACAAATGTTAAAAAAAAAACGTTGCATCTTACATCCTGTATCTCCTGCAGCCTCTGGTTGACCTCAGGCAGCATCCAAGTGTCCTCCCCTCTCAGCCTCTTCAGCTCTTTCTTCCTCTCTTCTCTCTCATACTTCTGCTTGGCCTGGTGACGGGACAGAAATAAGAAAATCAGTAAGACATTTGAAAGTAAGGGGACACAAGCGTGTACATTTTCAGACATGCAAAGGCATTGGACACATTTTTTAAAGTATAGGCATTCGTCCTCTGTGAGCATAGGGTCACAGCACCCAAAGGAACACCACCGGTTTCCAGAGCTTCACAAACCGTACAACAGACAGTTGTCCCTCCCTTTGCATTGCCCCTCTTTCTCTTCATGTTTGCTCTTCAGTTTGTAGGACCTCTTTCTCCAAATGTTCCGGCTCAAACAAGTAGGGGCAGCCCTCGAAGTTAAATGCTTCATAAACTTTGTCAAAATCAGAAGAAGATATGGTTAAATCCAAACTCAACACTCCAACTTTGTCTCTTTCCTTCACTCATCTCCATCTACATTCATCTACTCATTTCTCATCTTCCGTTGAGCGAAACATGTATAATGTCGCCACACTCTCAGGAAAAGACCCAAGATAAATATTTCAGCCTTTTAATGTTGAACATTTCCTGGAGTGTCGCAGTTACCCTATAAGATTACAGTCGAGCCACTGCTGCCGTGTTTCAGCTGCTGGTGGAGGTGATCAACTGGACCAAATACAAACGTTTGTGTTAGTTATCATCCATATTCAAAAGGCACAGATTGAAAAAAAAGATGCTTTTTATAAATCAGGATGCTCTTATTATTACGGCAGTCCTGAGAACACAAAGGGCCAAATAGTATTGCCACAAGTGATTTAGCGGCATGTGGTCTCTATTATTATCTCGCCCTTACAGTAAAATACAGCCACTTACACAAATCAGAGAAATCAAATTAAAGGACACAACAAACATTATGCAACAGCCGACCAGACTTCAGTGACAAGCTTGTGGAGAGCTGTGTGGAGCATCTTATTTATCTTTAACTTTAGGATGGCCGTGAAAGATCATTACGAGCTGATTGCTCTTCAGATCCGGACACAATAAATCAGACCCAGCTGCACTCTTTGCTTTGGCCGCTTCACGCACAGGTGATCCGTGCAGATAATGTCTTTACAGCCTTTATCCTCCAGGACATGGTTGGTCTGTGTATACGACGGCAGAGTAAACAAAGCTGCACAGCTAAAGGGATAACGCACAGCTAGAACCCCGTGTGCGTACAGCGTGTGTTTACAACCTTATCTGTGAGGTGGACACAGTGTTAAGCTGCGGCCATGACATGAAGCCAGGGTAAACAGCTGCAGGTCTCCTATCTGCATCACTCACTGTTTGTCCTGCTGGAACTCTGTCCACACACACTTCTGAAGACACACACACGTTCTGAGATTCATTAGGAGACGCATAGAAAGTCATTAACATCATGGCTGAGAACAGAAATGGGAAATATTCCGTTCAACCGCTTAAAATCCTCCGTACGTCACGTTACCATCACACGCTAGCCTACTTAGCATGTTAGCTTTCCTTCGGTCCAGTCCTCACTTCCGCCGTCCCTCACACCAGAGAAACCAAACCCAGGTCCACACATAGAGTTGTTGTCTCCACGTGTCTCTCTTCATACCTGTTCCGTCACCTCTCGTCTGGCCTGTCGTTTCTTTTCCCTTCTTTCCTCGATGCTGCTTGAGCTCTCGAAGCTGCTTCCGAACGCCGCCATGACACTGCCGTCAAGTGTTTTTGTTACATGTCGCAAACCGCTGCCGTTTACGTCAACTGCTGCTTTGTGGCTGTTGTAGTCCAGTAAAGAGAATTCTGCACGAGACGTCTCAAATAAATAAAAAATACCAAAAAACCAACGCTTTACATTTTTTACATTTAAATGTTGTATCACATTCTCTTCTTTACGGGAAGAAAACAGCT